CACGACTTCGACTCTGGTCGACTGCACCGTCTTGATTCTTGGCCATAATACGATCTGATCGTAAAGTATAAACGCGCTTCAAGACCGAGCCTGTCGGAATAAAGGGATCACTGTCTCCGTGAGAGGCGCAGACGGGAAAGCTCCACCGTACCGCCGCGTGCCCCCTCCCCTCTCCCCCAACTAGCGTGGAAATCGATAATGAAGATATGATCAATAAACTCACAAGGAAATTCTGCAACATTGCTTCAGTGATGCAAGTGACGTTAGACTTTCTGCTTTTCGACAGGAATATAAACATAAGAATAGCCGACAGCAAACCTCTCTTTGCCTGGGCCTAAAAGATCTATTTAAATTGATTAAAAATTAATTTTTCGGTAGAAAAACTCTCACCATAGTATCACCAGTGCTACATTCCTGCATGGGCTCTATCCGAACAATGTGTGATTGGTTGGCTCGATGTATGACCTGAGAAGTGAGACTCAGAGAAATCTGGGCACAGTTCGGCTTGGTGGGGGCATTTTGCACATCGAGAACTGCCGGTGCCTTCTACCCCTGAAGACCGGCAAATTCCTGAGCAGGCTTCATTTACTCACGACAAGAGTCTACAGGTCTTAACAAGGTTAGACATGCAATTTTACAGGAACCGGCAAAGGAAATTAGCGAACTAACAAATGCCCCTCCTAAGCCGAGAAACGCCAAAATCTGATTACATCAAAACTTCAATTGTTAGGATTACCTTGCAACCAAATGAACGTTGAAGAACATTGCTCGCTTCCCTTAGTACGTGGCTGTACTCCCTCTTGGAAAAGAAATGCTGTTTTTGGGCTACAATATCCTTGAGAGCTCCGTCTTTTTCCTTAAACCAAAAATAGCACGAAAATTTCGAAAGGTGAAAGAGAAGGTACAGAATTGGCAAGGAACAGCAACCCACGTACGTTAGAGGACGCATGGAGCAAGTGACGAGCTAGATGGCCCAGTTTTGACGTCCTTGTTGCCTGTGTTAAGCCCTGAAAGTTGGTCTATACGTGATACATAAACTCAAGCTCTCTAACGAATATCTAGGAGTTGGAGAGGGTGTGTCTGCGTACTTCATTTGAACATGGCGTACGACACATTTCTCGTAGGCCACTCCCATAGAGAAAACAGTTATCCTGTTTTGTGCTTTACAAATACATGACTGCGATCGTTGGAAAACAGCAAGATCCACAAAAGCGTAGCCGCCGCTACCTTTGAATGTAGTACGCAGCCACGCCCACCCATCTCTGGTTATGGAATGTGAATTGAGGTAGATAAAATGAACCTGTAACGGAGGCGTGGATTCATCCTCGGCTATTTCGACGTCGGTAGACTGCGTGGGTTCTGCCACTTGGGTTGCCCTACGCTTTTGTGACCTTCGAGCCTGAGACATTCTGGAAATAACGACCTTTTTTGGAAGAACTTGTCGCCTCTTTATTGCGAATAAAAAATACCAAGAAAATATGAATAATGAATGAATGTCATATGGAGAACAGCGAGCGCATAATATTACTGATCGTTCCGTGCTAATTTTAGCGAATTTTTCATTTAGCAACAAAACCGCAGTGAAGAACAACTTGGAATAAAACGGTGCCACACAAGATGCAAATTTAAATTATATGCGCGCAATATATATGATGTCGTAATTGCACATCCACTTCTTACGCCTGTTTTCGCGAAACAAGCTGTGAGAGGGTGAAGAAGGTCTCCTTCTGTGAACGAGATGCTTCGTTCACAAACCAGATTCTCCATTGAGATACTCCGGCGGTTATCTACTGAAGTTGCTCATGAGGCCAAAACTCCTAAAGTTGTCATCCCTCCCGCTATCAAGGTGAGTTTCCTTTGAGTCTGCACAGCTTTTGTTCTTCTTTCTATTTTCAGTTTTTGTTATACTTTTAAGTGGGCCCCGGGGGGGGGGGTAAAAAACTGTTTTGAGAGGCTCTGTGCAATTTGGTGACGGCAGAAGTAGGCTAGGCAGTACGTTCCTTCTCGTAGCTTGCCCGCATCTTCTAACGGTGATCTACCTTCCACCGTGATCCAAAGATGTTTTTTCCAAGCATATAAAATCCGATGAAAAAAAGAGTATCCTTCAAAACAGGAATACATTCCAGCGTGGACCAACCGATTTGCTTCAAGCTTTGTCGGAAACGGTCGGTGTCGATCCAACAGCGCCTCATTTTGCTTTCATCGATGATCCTGCCATGATTCCTAGCACAGCAGCCACTAAGAGGACCTACTATATGGCTAAGGTATGTTTGAACGGTATGGCTTGTTCCTAGGGAGAGCCAAATAGATTATATGCTGAAGGACTCTGGTTTCGCCCTATTTTCTCTATACCTTTCAGGAAATGGGTAAACGCGCTGCGCGTCAATTAGCAGAGGAGTGGCCCACTTTGTTCGCCCTTGACCGTGATGATCCTTACCTCCCGGCTTTTCGACCTCAAAAGCCAGCAGATCCGTTGCAGGTAAGTTAACTTCATAGGAACCAATTCTTCCTAGTAGAACAGTCTAACCCTTTCTTAGGTTGAACCCACAGAGAAGAATGTTTTGGCAATGATCGAGAAACGAGAAGTTGAAGATGCTGTGAGGCTGTACGAGAGGATAAGAGCGGATAATATCGAGGTCTCACAAGAAACTCAGGTAGCTGCTTTTTCAATGGAGCAGGATGGGCCTTCCTACGTACTGGACGGTCTTCGGACCAGAACTTTACTTCATGTCCCGGAGATAGAAGGGGCGTGGCTGCGTACTTCATTTGAACATAGCGTAGGATGCGTTTCACTCGAATGTTTCCATTTGGGACAGCTGCCATCCAGTCTTGTGCTGGCGAAAAACATGGCTGGAGTAGTGCCATGCCGAATAATCTTACCAGAGGCGTAGTCGTCGCCCTTTCTCTTGGGGTACGCAGCCACGCCCACTCCATCTCCGGGACATAGGGTGTATGTTGATTCGAGTACATACTTTCGAATGATTGCAGGTTGCCAGTTTTTTTGGTGGTTAGTGTTCTAAAAAGATGCTTATCTCATGCAGGCTACAGTTTTCCAAAGAACTGAGACAAAGTTTGCCTTGAAGGGGGCACCAAATAAGCGAAGCCTGTACAGGCCGCTCTGAGAAAATCTGTAACTTCTTGTGACTAGATTGGCATTTCATACCTTTTCGCAGCTTCACAGGAGTTTATAGGTTCCATCAAAGACGCACAGAAGAAGGCGAAATGCCCCTTCCCATTCCCCCTGAAGCAGAACAGCGCCGAAATTTGTGGCCTATGTCCGACGGTTCCTTTCTGAAAGTTGTTCACCTAGATGGAGCTGTTCAAGTTAGTCGCATACTACAATGGCAAAAATGTGCCGTTTTCTGAGTGGGAAGAATGGCATGGTATGCGCGCTTTTGGCGAAAACGAACCAAACAAATGGACACCTGTAAGTATACTTGTTTACTTTTTATTAACTGTGCACTTTCTCATTAATTTTTTCAGGCAGGATTGGCGGACTT